TAGCTAATTTCTATCTTATAAAGATAGAAAGTTATTTTCAAAAAATAACTCTCGACTCAATTCATATATTTATATGTTTTTCATATTTGTTCAATGTATATATAAGACTTTTAATTTGGAATATACCTATAACACCAGAGCCCATAGATATGCTATTATTATTATTAACTACTTAGTTACTACAACAAAATTATATGCTCAACTATTTCTTTATAGTCTTAAACCCTCTCCATCTCGGTTTAATTATTCTGCATTCGATCTTGATATATGATATTTTCAAAAAACTATTTGTGAGTAATTAAAACAAAATGTATTACCTCTTGAATTAACATGTTTGTATCACACTAAATTATAAAAAAAGTTACTCAAGATATTGGATATATTACAGTATTTAAATTATACTTTTGTTAAATTTTCCCATCAATGTTGTTCCATCAAATTCCCTTTTTAAGGGATAAATTCATTTGAATTCGAGAGTTTTTATTAAAAACGAAGGATATTTATTATTTCATAGTAACTTTGATGGTAAATTATAATAGTAGTAATATTTATTAGGAGCGTGATGTTCATGAAATTGTCGGTTCACGAGATTCTCTTTTACCTCAATAGACAATAAAATAAATAAATAATGATATTAGTACTTTAGTGATGTTGATGTAGGTGCTGATTTATTAAGGACAAATAGTGGGATTTGGAAATATTCGGTCGTCTACAAAATTCATCGACCCAATTTATAAAATTTCATGCATCTATCACGACAAAATTCACGAGACCAAAATTCAACACTCATCCCTCTTCTGCTACACACCACAGAGGAACAACGACTCAAATAGTGCATGCATCCACTTGATCATCAGATAAATATCTCTCTCTCTGACAGTGTCGTTTATCTGAATATAATTTTAAGTATCACTACTCCATAATGTATGACATTAAAAATGATTCTAAACCAAATTAAAGTTAATCTTTTTCGTAAAATATTATTATCATAGCTATTGAACTAAAGAACCTAGCTAGTGGGATGAGTTGCATGGTTTGTTAGGTACATACTATTTGCTTTGTTGAAGTTGTAAGTATTAATTTTCTGTAGCACATATAGTTTATAGTCTTTGAAAATAGTTTTCATAGTTGAGTTGATTGTTGGTGATTGATTAAGGTATTCCTTAGGTTAATTATGAGTTGTAACCTTAAATTATTCTTCACACGATCGAGTTAGTGAAGTTTGAGACATATCTTACACATTAATAAGTTGTAGTTTTTACTCCGTTCCACGTAAAAATCTTTTACGTTTAGTGTATGTATATATTTAAATGTTTTGAAAAGCGTGGTTCTTGAATAAGTTAATGAAAGCAATGGTAAATGTTAAAGAGAAGTGAGTGGTCACATCGACATGCAGACCACAATGGTAAATGAATATGAAAGGTAATAAGGTATTCCAAAATGTGACTTGTAAACGACAAATTGCTGTTGCTAGCAGCTACCTCATACAGCTAACAGTCCTACAGTATACTAAAAACAACAACAGTGAACAGTGAACAAATTTTTTAACAAGACAAACGACCATTTGATTTCACTGTGCCTTGGAGATGGAAGGAGATGTGCGCGCATACACGCACAATTTGAGTATTGGTTGTGCACACGAAATCACAGTTGAAATAGGGGATCCGATTGTAAATATATAAGGTGTAGAATTATATACATGTATAAAGCATTTTCGTGAAAACTGACTAGTCAAACTCTTCATTTAAAATTTAATAAGAAAAGGAAAGGAAGCTTTCAGAGAGATGTACAATTAGAATTAGTTAGTTGAGTAAACAGTGAATAAGCTATAGTTGTTGAAGAAAAAAGGAAAAGTATATAACGATTGACAACTTCTATACATATAACATATACTACTATAATTTTGTATGTTAGTACATACTACTTTATAGTGGGGAAAGCTTTAAAGCTGCCTAAGTTTATCTGATCTGTTTTTTCCTACTGTGTGCTGTGCTGTTGCAATTTCTGGCGTGCTATTATGAGTTGTAACTTGAAAGTACTCTTATGTCTCTTTGCTGTGCATCTACTTTTGCAACACCACTCTGAGGGGTCGTTTGGTAGGGAATATTAGTAGAAATACTTCAGGTATTATGTATGATATTATTTAGTAGGCCAAACATATATACAACCTCTCAAACTTGCCTTTATTTTTCATTTTGGCACTCCAACTTAGCCTTGTTCCCATTTTTAACCCCTTAAACTCCATTTTTTCTGTACCATTTAAACACTTATACTAATTTTTATGATTTCTTTTTATTTATGTTCTTCAATTGCAATTTCTTGTTTTAAAAAAATAGACGTGTGCCTGTTAATTTTCGTAAAAAAAATAAACATTCGCAAACGAACATAAAATTTTTCAAACAATAATATTATTTTTTGATATTTCTCTGTATTTCGCATGAAAATAAATTGATGAAAGTTCTTTGATTTTCTTTCTTAAACATTCAATTAAATTAAATAACACTATTTTATTTTTATTTTTATCATCTAGGCTATCTAAATTTAACGCAAATACTTAGCAAGGCTAAGTTTTAGTGCCAAAATGAAAAATGAGGACAAGTTTGAGGGGCTGTATATGTGTTTGGCCTTGTTGATTCTTTGAAAAGAAGTGTCAAAATGGAACATAAAAATTGAAGTTAAAGGATTAAAATGGAACAAGATTGAGTTGAAGTGTCAAAATGAAATTTAGGGACAAGTTTAAGGGTTTGCATGTGTTTGACTTTATAATTATTTATGAAACTAAATCAAATGTGCATATTAAAACTAGTAGTACTAAATGATATATCATACAATCAGTTGATTCAATTGATCTAGTACTTTCAACATAGAGGATACAATCAGTTAATTCAACTGAAATACACGTCTTATGTTCCCCTTATTTCCAATATCCCTTTCTATTTCTAAAAATCTCTAAAATTTCTTATTTCTTTAATTATTTAGTTCTATGTTTGGTAGAAATTTTGGTCCATATATAACTAATCCATGGATGAGTTATACAACATACATGGTATTATATGATGTATTGCTAATACCTCCCATTTGGTGGTATTAGTAATACATAGGTTTTTAATACCATGGGATTATCTATGTAAAGACAAAAATATCTCTCAAATTCTTTTAATCATTTTATTTATTTTCTTGATTTTATATTTTATATTTATATTAGTAAATTTATTTAAATAATTTAGCTTACAAATTTTACTATTTTAAAAGAGTTGTTTGTTGCTCAAAAGAGTACTCAACTTTGAGAATTTATCAAGTAAAGTCACATTGAACTTTGTTTTGTGTCGATAAACTCACTCAACTTAGATATTTCTATCAATAAATCACTCAATTAAATTTAACTTCAAATATAGGATAATAAGGCAGAAGAAATTATTTTGTATGTAATAAAATTATGGACCAACGAAGAAATTAATTATTTAGATTAAAAAGGACTCAAATGTTAAAGTGGAATTTCTAACTAATTCGGAATTCCATCTATTCTTTTAAAAAAAAATTATAACTAGGGTTGTAAATAGGATAAGCTGAGAAATAAAATAATGAATTGTCTATAACATACTATAACGTGTATCATAAAAGGAACCAAAACAGAAAACATCCTCAGTGTTCCTGATTTTTTTCGAACGGCACTGTAATTATAGCAACATGCCATTTATGAAAAGAAAAAAAAAACAAAGTAATAACCTTATTTAATTTCAAAGCAGTTGAATTTTGATAATTCGAGCTCTAAAAATTTAGTAATAAGACTCTCAATTATAAAAATAATATTGTCCAATAGTTATCTTTCTTGGCCCAATTAAATAAAATAGAAAATTCTATATTCAAAGGTATAATTGGTAAGAATTTTTTTGTAAAATTTATAATCCAAACCCAAAATAAGGTGGGAAGCAATGAACCAAACACTTGATAAAAATAACCCTTGCATTACTAATCCATGCATTGTTAATCCATGCATTGCTAATCCCTGCATTACTAATCCATGCATTATAATACTTTGTATCAAACGACCCCTTACTTCTTTGTTTTTTCTTTATTTGGTCTTTGGAGGTTCTTCCTAACCATAGGGTATTACCCAATGTGTCATAAGTTTCCTATTCGAGTTTTGGTTATGTAATCGCGCTCTACTGTTAATATGAAATTTTCTTGACACAAGTACGTATTTAATTTGATTCCAATACAAATAGAAAAACTTCAAAATCATATTATAAACAAATTATGTCACCTTTATTCATATTTAGCATATTTCCAACAAAATTAGACTTTATATATATTATTACCCCCCGCCCCCATCTCATATTACTTGTCCACATTACTAAAAATATGCCTTAAACTATTTGACAATTTACAAAATTAAAATAGAGGGCGTAGTTGAAATTACAAGCAATTTGGGACGGAGGGAGTAGTTGAAACAAGTAATACTAAAGTTAAAAGTCTAGATAGTCCATGTCACTATGCTAAAGTTTCACGAGTAAAAATTCAAAAAAAAATCATCATATTTTGTTTAATTTTCACAAAAAAGGAGTTTTTAAACTCCACATTGTATGTCGGAGTTTCACTTGTAAAAATTTCAAACTTCATCACACATACAATACTAGAGTTTCACTTAAAAAACATTTTTCAAACTCTAACCTTGTGTGATGGAGTTTCAATTGTAATAGTTTCTTAGCATAATGTGCTAGAGTTTTTTTTTCGTGTTTTGCTACGGTTATTCTCATTCAAAAAATAATTGAAATTTCGAATATTTCTTACCTACAAAACAAATGGTGATTAAACTTTAAATATCAGCCTACAAGTGGCTAACCTATTCAATTTTTTTCACCTAATAAGCTTATGTAACGGCCCATACTCCTACCAACACCGGCCCGGTCTAATAATTCTGATCCAAATGGCCACACAATAACATCCAAGCCCAATTCAAAATATTTGCGCTGATAGTCCTTACGACCCGGCCTTATATTGTATCTCCTACAATTGAACTTGAACTGAATTCACCAGCAATCTGAGCTCAAGGTAACTGTGGCGGGAGAGTGCAAATCTTCCCTCCATGGCTGAAGAGTTCAAGTATTCTTGCAACACTGCGAGTGAAACCCTACAATGGATCCATGCAATCATCAACTTCATTGCACCTTATCGTTATTTCTTAGATGCTCATGTCGTCAACTTTTTCAAGGTCTTCACCTTCTATTCACTTCACATCTGTGAATTAAGCTTAATTGAGCTATGTTTGCGACTGTTTATGCTTCGCATATAGCATTCTGATATCTTATGTGTAGAACTTTGAAATTTTTTGTGAGTATATGCAGGATAGACTATGGGAACCTGTTGATAAAGAATGGATGGATTGTTTACGGAAGGAGTCGGTTGGAAATCTTCTCCGGATTCCTTCTGGTGTGGTTCAGGTAGTTATAAGTATATACTATGTTTTTTGCTTTACACTTTATATTGTTAAGTTCATGTGTATTTAGATTAATTGTTCTGTTGCCTGTTAATAAATCATTTCTAATTCGAATTTGTGTGGTTAGTTGGAGTTATAGAAAGTGTAGAGTTACTAGGAGGTTCATTTGCAGCTTTGCTCTCAGGAAGAAGAATCTCACATTTTTTGGGAGAAATTACTTGTAGAGGGTCAAGCAATAGCATATATTTTCACTGCTCACTACTAGTAGCTAAGCTTATCTTTGAATGTAACAAGTTCAACAAATAGCAAAGTTCCATTGGCTTGAGTATTGGTATCTTGGTCCATATGAAAAGTAGGGATTCATAGTTGATCCCAGCTAGTTTGGGATTGAGGTGTAATCATTGTTGTTGTTGCTGTCGATTATTGGCCACTAACTATCAAATGTAATTTGGATAAATATAGCCATAACTTTTCTAGTGTGGTATCTATTCCTTTCGCTGTATGCTTTTGTTTTTTGAGAAAGAGAAAGAAAACACTTAGATAAAGATTCTCAATACTTTAGTTTAATGTCACCTATCCAGAACTAAAAGGAAAAAAGTACTTAATTGTTTCCCAACTAACTAGTATCTATGACAGTAAGATAACCTATATTTCTTTGTTAATTGACTTTGTTCATTTGTGTTGTTAGGATCACTGGCCTGGCTCACTGAAGGAGTTCATCCTTACTCTGAGGTCTCTTTCTCTTTCACGGGAACAGGCAGATTTTCAGGTATATTTATTTTTATTTTCATTCTTTTCTTAAATTTGTGATACATGGTAGTTATAGAATTACCATTAGAGCTTTTCGACTTATATAATTCCATTGTTGTTACTCATGCTTTTCCCATATTTGAAGTTTTGTACACATAGCTTTCTTTACCAGTGGCATTTCTTCTGGTTAGTTGCTGTGGCTTCTGGGTTATGATATCTGTATAACTAGACTAAGGATATTTAGCCTACTGCTGTAGCTGGTTCATTTTGCATATTTTGCTGTCTGAAGTCTAATTAGTTCTTGAAAGGTGCTAGATGACCCCTTCCATTGGTAGTTTCATGCCCTTTTGGAGTTAGTGATACCTTTCATGTAGTTCTTTTTTCTTCAAAACGTTCAAGACCATTTTGTAAGGCAGCCAGGATTGAATTTCACTTTTTCTTTCTTCTGTTTGCTTGCAGGAATTTTCAGGAATGCACATAGCTTCACTAAATAATGTTTTAGCTCAAGGGATGAATCATAAGAAAAAGCATGAAGTAAGGCATGAAATTATTGCTTAGTCCTCTTACACGCCTATCTTTGTACTCAATTTGTTGGCTACAAAAATCCGTGGAACATTGTTTTATCCTTTTTGCTTTCGAGTTTTTGATTTTGATGATGTTACTTGTTGATATCAGGTCATTTAGGGAAGCTTTTTTTTTTTTCACCATCAAGCTTTTACTAGTGGTCTACGTTGCTAGCTATGTTCTGTTCTCAGTATGTGATCGCAGAACATTTTTTGTAATATTGAATTTATGCACAATAGAGCTTCTAAGCATACTCCTTTTAGTGTTTTGATTTCTCAACCTGACTGAAAGAACATAATGATTTTTCAGAAGTTTTGACAAAATGGATCGAAGGATTTAATAGAGGTTGTTTTTCGATTTAAATGCTTTTCCTAATTTGAGCTTAAGCTTGAAAAGACAACTATGCAGATTCCTTGTATGGGTTTAATTTTCTCAACCTGAACGATAGAATGGTAAAATACTGTCAAAGCAGGTGGAAGCGCTTTCTGCTCTGGTCAGTTTAGTCGCAAAGCAAGTTGGAGCCCGAACAGTTGTTGATGTTGGTGCTGGACAGGTGTGTCCCCTTCTGTGTTGTACAATTATCAGGCTTGTTCCTATGCAATAGTTTCAATGAATTTTTTGACTTTGTTAATTCCTTAGAATTCATACAGGACGGTTGATTGGGAAAGAGCTAACTCATTTTTTGTCCACTGATGTAATTTTCAGCATTTAATGGATCCAATATCAATGAAATTCTGAGCTTACCTGATTAAAATAAAATAAAAAAAGAAATATTCTAGTAATTCTGTTAGTGGAGAAAAATCATCTGGTTTTTCTGCTATCTGCTTCTACTTAAGACTGTTCATATGGTGTAGGGTTATCTTGCACAAGTGCTTGCTTTTGACTACCAGCTTTCTGTAATTGCGATTGATGCCTGTTCACATCATGGTAAGATTACTGATGCACGTGCGGAGCGAATAAGGAAACACTATGCAGCTAAGATGCGTAAAAACTGGTAGGTAGAGTCTCAGAACGCATACTTGTTGAAATTATCATATATATGCAGCATATATTCCTTGTGCTAATGAAATCTTTATATGAACTAGGTTAAAATTAACCTATATAACACTAAAAAAGTGGTCTGAAAATCTTGGCTGTAAATTGAAAGTTGAGGACTATATCTAACTTATTTTATGTTTGGTTCAGAGGAAATGAAACTAAACTGAATATAGCTAAGATTCTTGCATAGCATTTGGAGAGATAAACTTCTTTTTTTCCTCAAGAGAGGGGAATAAACTTTTTAACTGCTGCAACTTGAGTTATTGGTTGAACATTACACAATAAATAACAGTGGCGAGCAGTAATCTCCACTACCTCCTTATTCACCTTATTTTCAGACATCCAAAAATACATAGGTTAAGTCTAACAATACTATCTTAGTTTTTCTAAAGCAATTTATGAGCAGTAGCACATGAAGTACGTTTATTTAGGTACACTGGTTGGGGTGTTTAAGAAAAGCTGATTTATTGCAGAAATTTGGCTGTATTCATTGTCCAGTTGACCAAAATATGCCTCTGCGTCAATGCTCTACATCAATCTGTTGAGTGGTTACATTTTGTTGGCAACAGTATTTTGAGTCATGTTATTGGATGGTCTTATTCTTTCAGAATGCTTATCTGTTATCTATTTCCCTTATTTTCCAGCTCCGAACAGAGAGAGTTTAGTGTGCCAAAGACAGTTACATGCCGAGTGCTGTCTTCTGATACACTGAGTGCCTTGAGTAACTCCCCAGTAGAGAATGATCATGCAGGGAATCAACATTTGAGCCAAAAATGCTCAGTCTCTCAGCCATCTCGACTTGCTGAGGATATACTACCTTCTCGGTCTTATAGTGATTCTACATTGGTTATTGCTGGACTTCATGCATGTGGAGACCTCTCAGTGACAATGTTGAGGTGGGTACCATATTTTATATTGTGCTCCTTTCTAAATCTCATGAGGTGGTAATGACCTAACAATAACTAAAGGGTGAGTGCTAGGATGACCATGAATGTTCATGGGCTACTCCATTTGTCTGACTGGTTAGTGGAGTTCGATTTGCGTTCTTATTGCATAAGATACTATGTCCAGAAAGACAGATGTCCCATGTCTATTCTCCTTTGTCATTCTAAGACCTTTCATTTGGAATAAGTTCTGGCCTCTGGGTTTTATGTTTCTAGCAAATCAGGTATTATATTTTGAGAAGCTTTATGTGAATAATTACTACTAAATGGCTTATTCTTATCTTAGTTTACTTTACGGAAATGTTTTACGTTATGATAGTCCCTCCCAATTTGATATTTGTGTGATGCGCAGTTGACTCAATATTTCTTATAATTTAAGGACATTCTTGGAATGTGACAAAGCTAAGGCAGTGATTAGTGTTGGTTGCTGTTATAACTTGCTTTCTGAGGAAGCCATTGACATAGCGGATTCTTGTTGTGGTTTTCCTGTAAGTCAAGGTGTTAAATCTGCTGGAGTAATGCTTGACAAAAATGCTCGCGATCTAGCTTGTCAGGTAGATGAGTATTATACTATTCTTTGTTGACCCTTGCTGGTAGAACTTACTTGAATTGACAGTCCAAATTCATTGCATCTCGAAAACTTGTCTACCTTTTCATCATAGTCATATTCCGATTTCTGACCTTGAGTTGCTTTATCAGAGTGCTGATAGATGGAGAGGCTTGGATGAGCACGCAGGGCTTCACAACTTTGAGTTGCATGCATTGCGTGCTGCCTTCCAGATAGTACGTGCTGTTTATTTTGGACTACTATTTTAACTGGTTTCGTTGGGCTTATCTCTAAGTCCTTCCGTTGAAACAGCAGTAGCCCACTAACCTGCAGTAATTGTGAAGGTTCTCTTCAGACATTATCCAAACATATTGCTAGAAAGCCCTGCAATAGGGCGTCAAGGGAAAGCCTTACGACGCCAACAGAATCAGAGGATCCTGGAGTCTAATTTGCATCATGGGGGGCCTTCAGAATCTGGTGAGTACTTGTAAAGGATACCATTGATGAACTTCATTGAGATTCAAGGTAAAACCATATAAGGTATATCTTGTATTAGTTTCTGAATAACATATTCATTAGAATTTATGTCAAATGCTTATTCATGAGATGTGTCATATATTCTTGACCAGCCTTACATTTTTTAGATTTCATCATTTTATGAAAATGTACATATGTTATTGTCATGCTCCAAAACTGGAAGGATGCAATTGGTATCCAATGCCTTAAACTTCCATTGAGCGAACCAAACCTAACATGACATACTGAAATACATTCCATGAATGAATAAGAAACATAAACAAGTTGATAACATTTCTTTAGAAGACAAATGTGACATCATTCGCCTAAACAATTGAAATAACATTTAGTGTCTATATAGACCCAAGTGTCGAAGCAACTGTGAAGGCTACCTATTCAGAAAATAAGCTCTGAAGTGCTTTCTATGCAGGTGAACCACGGGAGAGTGTGTCGTTTCTTCATGAATACTCTTCTATTCAGAGTTCTAAAAATTGCAAGTCTAGAGCTGTGGACGGATACTCCCTATTTGTAAAATTTTGTGAATCTGGGTTAGGTCGCCTACATCTCCCTCATTTGGAGGATACAGCTTATAGTGCAGTCTGGAGGGAGTCTGAATCATACTTTGTAAGTAGATCTTTGATGATATTATTATTTTAAGTGTCATAAAAGATTTCTTTTCAGCATTATTATTTGTCTTCTGTACTTGGAAACTACAACAACAACAAACCCAGTGTAATCCCACAAGTGTAGTCACTTAAAGTGCTTCTAAGCTGGTTCTCTTTCCTTTACCTTTTAAAGACATATTACAAGAAACAGTATATTAGTTGTCTTTGTTTTCCTTTGATTTCGGCTGGCCAAGATTTGATACAACTTTAATGAAGAGGTGTTCAATTTGCTTAATTTTAAAGTCATTGGTTTGCCCAAACAATATTGCCTCTTGGAGATCATGGCTGGACGATTAAGTGGTCTGGATATTTCTTCTCAGCATCTATTTGATTGATGTGATTCTAAAAGGTCAAAAATATCTTAGTTAAGTTGAAGTTCCACAATGTTGTGGCCTCATTGTTTATTAGTTGATGTAATAGCTTTCTCTTAGGAATGGAGGTCTGTTGGTTGTACAGTATGTATGGCATCATTGTTCTTTCAGATTCTCGGGAGTTGAACTTACCAATCCCAACTAGCTCAAAGTTACATAAAATCAGGTGCCTATGATCTACTCAAGTATCCAGAAAGCTGGTTAGCTGATATGTGCAATCCTTGGTGATTTTGTTCTCAAGATAGTATAGAGATGTCTGTTCTTTCTTATATTCTTTTTTGGTCGTGATATATAACAAAAAAGATACCTTTAAAAGAACAAGAATCTTTTTTTACTCTGATAAAGTAATCAACTTTCTGCAGGAGTTGATAGGGCCTTATTGGTCTCTTCGTGCTGCCCTTGGTTCTGTTTTGGAAACTCTTATACTGCTTGACCGATTATTGCTCCTCCAGGAGTACGACAGTGATCTGGAAGCAAGCCTCTTACCTATTTTTAATCCTGTGTTATCCCCGAGGAATATGGCTATCATAGCTAAGAAAATTAGGAAGTAGAAGTTTTCCCCAATCCCCAAAATGTGATTCAACATACTGTGTAGCTATGATTTGTTCTCAGATATTTTGACCGCTTCTGTTTGTTATTCTTTTTAAGAAATCCTTTAACCAAGAGAAAAAAAGAGCAGAAGAAAAAGGAAGCAGTTTGCGACCAGGAACTAGCTTTCTACAGGGTCCTTGTGGAAGCAAGTATTTACATGGACCCCTCTTAGTGGTGAAACGGTATTATATTTATCTTCACTTCTTTGTGAATGGAAGCAAGACAAGACTTAATGTTGGTAAACGTTAGTGGATTAGTATCTAATTGTGGCC